GCCACTCTATACCTCTCTCTCTCCTCCTCTCTCTCTCTCTCTCTCTCTCTAACATATTGCTTATTCAAACAGAATCATTGGGACATTTTTATTAAATATGTATTCTTAATCAATAATTTTAAATTATGGGTACCACATGACAAACAAAATATACTCCACTCATCATAGCATTATTTTTAAAGTAGATATTTATTTAAGCAGATATTTAAATGATCAACATTCCAATAATAAACATTTTAATGTTGATGATAATAATAATAACAATAATAAAAATTAAACATGAATATTTTTTAGATTGTTTATTAAACATGAATTTTACAACTATTGGAATAATATCATTATTATAATAATTATAGAGAATTATATATCATAATGTTAATAAAAAGGGGAAGAGGAGTGAGAAAAAAAAGCCCGCCCCTATACAAAAAGCCAATTTTATGAAAAGCTTGCATTTGCTCATTCTCTGTCTTTCTTTCTTCCTTTTTTTCAGAATGAGCAAATGCTGGACATGAGAGGTTTTGAGGATATAAATATCCTGGATATGATCTCAAAAAATACACCAAAATGAACCTAGGCTATCGAAACTTGTATATGCAAAAGAAGGATTTGCATATGAAAGGGTCCCAAACCGATGTTTTCAGGACCGAACAAATGACTGAATCTGGTGAGAGTAAAGGTTTGGCCAGACCAGCTGGACTGAACCGATTCATCGATTCAAGCGGTAGTAAAAAATATGCAAGAAACTGCAAACATATTTCTGTTTTTTTTTTTTTAATTTTTGATTCAAAATTTTAACGGCTTTTACAGAATGTAAAAGCCCTTGCAATTATAAAAATTAAAATAGGAAATACGAAAGAAATGCACCAAACAAATATATTCCTTTTTTTTATTATTTTCTAATTCATAGTTCAAGGACTTTTACAAAATGTAATGGTACAAGCCCATAAAAATTTAAAACCAAAAGTTAAGAAAAAAAATAAGGGCAAAAAAATATTATCCTTTTTTTCTGTTTTGTTGTAGTTGTTTTGTTCTTTATTTTCGCATTTTCTGTTTAACTTTTGAGGGGCTCATACAAATTGTAAAAGCCCTTTAAAATAATAAAAAATTGTAACCCAAAAAAAAAAAATTTGAAAAATTTAGGTTTATAGAATCCTAACGTCCTAAGCCCAAAAAGTCCAAAACATATTATTTTCATTTATTCTTGCCTTCTCTAAATTAACTATTAAAGAACATTAAAGGACAAAAAAAACCTACCTTGGGTTGAATCTTGACCGGAATCTTTGCCATGGGAGTTTCAATGGAGACTTGAAAGAGAGAGAGAGAGGGTTGCATAAGCCTCTTTTTCTCTCTCGTAGGATCTCTGTATGACCCTTTAAAACCCTAGCCTTTTTTTTTGTACTTTTAGGGCCCTTTAGAAATAGAAAAAGACAAAAAATACCCCCCATTGAACCTTGATTTTTTTGGGGGGAAAAAAAAAACAGGGGCCGAAATGGTCTTATTAACAACCGGTTCAAAGAGTAGACCAGACTGAAAAGGAACATCACTGTTCCAAACAACTCATAATGGCAACACATGCAGAAAAAGCTTAGTAACACTTTTAAACGCCTAATTGGCATTTGTGTCTCTAAGATGTGGCACAAAGCTTAGTAGTCAAATTTCAAATAAAGATATGGGGGTCATTCCACATCATATGAAGCCCCATAAACAGAGGCAACGACCTGTCTGTACAGAATGGGGAAAAAATTGGAAGGGGAGGAGCTAGTTTTGAATTTAGTAGATCTCTTAGAGAATGCAGGGAGCTTTAGATAACAAAAACCATGAGAGAGAGAGAGAGGGACGGAGGGAAGAATATGGCAAGGTAAAAAACCAGATCATGGAGATGGTGTGAAAGGGAAGAACAATGCAAGGTAAAAAGTTGATCATGCCTTCTGCTCTCAGATGTGAATATTTTCTTCATCTTTACATTTAGAGAATCAGAGGGGTCTTCTCTAATGAGATATTATCAACAACAGGTTTATCATTCAGTCCTAGAAGAATGTATATCATTGAAAAAACTAATAACTAACTAGAAGACAAAACAAATAAAAGGAATTCATAAAAATTTTCCAGAATTCAAAATTCTAGACAAAACAAATTGTGTGTGTATGTGTGTGTGTGTGTGTGGGAGAGAGAAAGAGAGACGTTCGCAGATAAAAGGAATTCATAAAACAAGGCATGGGAACTAACCCATTGCGGGCGACATGACATCAAGGCCAACATTTCCCGGGGTCATTGGTTGTCCACCAGGAGTTCCAGGTAGGTAGGCTGCCGAGCTTGGTGTCATCGGCTGTCCACCCGGAGTTGATGGCAAATAGGGGCTGGGAGCATTTGCTGAAACACAATAAATGAAGAGCAACATGTACTCACATTTACCACTATTAGGGGGAAAAAACACAAACACACACAAATATAAAAGCATGATAGGTTAATAGAGAAACACCTACCATAAGCTGGGCTGGCATCTCTAGGAGTTCCAGCTTCGCTATAATTACCCCCTGGAGTACTAGCCCATCCTGAGCCAGGAGTTGGTGCTTCATAAGGTCTATTTGATGGAGTTCCAGGCTGATGTAAAAAAATGAAATGTTGGAATACTAGAATAATAAGGAAAATTTAAATTTCAAATGAATAACAACATCAATGCCTTCATGCAACTGAGCCACAATATGATACAAGTTCTAACCTGGTAACTGGGACTAGTTGAACCCCCCCAAGAGGCAGGATTTCCATCTTCCCAGTTATCCCTGATTATGTCATAAACATTGGATGATATAATCCAACATGTTAGTTGAGGAATTCAATAACACACCAGAAGATGTCAATTACATGAAATAATGTAAAAAACAACTTAAATTTTCAAATAGAACATTAAATAGAGCATTAGTATTTCATTGTCCATTCATAGTTTTGACAATTTTAAGAAGATAATAGTTCTCCTTTAATGGAACCACAACCTAGCATGGGTTTCTCTACTTACTTAATATGGGGACTATAACAGTGAGAGAGGCCCTATGTATTTATATAATAGTGAGAGTGCTCATGCTTTCACTCATTCTCTCTCCCTATATATATATATATATATATGGTGGCAATCTTACTAGAAGAAGGTTGCAACATTGTACACTGTTTGTTTTAGTTGGAAGATGTAGATTTGGCACGTCTTTGAAGACTCAAAAATTTGATAAGGTCTTACAAGGCAAATCTACATATTCCAACTAAATTGAACGGTGTAAAATGCTGCAACCTGACTTCCTTTGCCACCATATATAACTGTACCCTTAAGCCAATAGGACAATACAAAACATAATGAATCTTTACTTTAAATTGGCAATTTATTTAACTAATAAAAACTTGTAATAAAAAATAAACACTAAAAAAAGAATCTTATTCTTTTTCTTTCAAGTAAAAATTTAGAACTTTGAAATCTAAAAAATTATATAAGAAAAGAAAATTTTGTACTTTCAAAGAGGGTACGGAACACAAACCCCCAAGCCATTCATATTCCCTGCTTTAAATCAGTAAAATTACTTTTAAACAATAAAAAACTCTTAAATTAGAAATTAAGAATTTACAAAACTGGAATATTTGTTTCGACAAGATAAAGAACCAAAAGTCTAAAGCCAACGAATGTTGAGAATAATCAAGTTATTAAATTAGAAACTTATGGATTTTTGTGTCACACATATCACTAATGTGTTTCTTTTACAAAAGGCAGAACTCATATTCTATGAGGGTTTCAGATCATATTTCTTTATCTGCTGAAGTCCTCCAAAGGATTTTTAGACAAGTTAAGGCAGAACATAATTTTTCTTGTAAGAAGTACATGCATGCTGACTTCTTCCTCAAAGATGTTCATGCTGAATTTAAATTTGTGTTCCGTTGAATCGAAAAGTACATATGCTGGTTTTTTAAGTTTGCTATATGTAATAAACATTATTTTCCTTTGATACCGCCGACAATTATCTTAAATAATAAATATTGCCATCACCTCCAAAACCATACACAAGAAATTTCTAGGAAAAACATGTGCATGTAAGATAATAAATCCCCGTGCTGAAATATGAAATATCCATCAAACATGCTTTAGCTTCTTCACAAGTATACTCGTTGCTCAATAGCCGACCCTACATTAGAACATTTAGCAGATGGAGATGCTATGTATGCATAACATCGATCCTGCAGCTTGGAAGTTCCCTGAGGAAAAATTTTCAAGTTCAAGCCTATATTTTTTTCTGAAAACTTCCAATCTAACAGCTCTATTTCTTAGACAAAATGGAGAGAAGGGCTCCATAACTTTATAAGCCTAAAGGAGCCTGAACTATACTAATTCCCATGGGTCACACAAAGAAACGTATAAAGCCTATATGACAAAGTCATACCTTGGTGGGCTCATTGGTGCATAAGGATTCCATGCACGGTCACGCATGGGAGTTCGCATTCCATCATGGATTGGAGTGGCCCCTGTACAGAGTCATCATGAGACAACAGGAAAGTGAATTTCATATCCAATGGGATATGGCATTACGCAGATGAAAAAAGAGGCAATCAGTTTCATGACACAAGAATAGGAAAACATGACTCAATGAACCAAAACCTAAAAAAGAAAAAAAGTAACACAAGACAGCTTTTGCCACCTTGTCAAAGAAATTTGCATCAATTTACCAAAATGCTAATGTAATGCAGAATTATTTCAAGAACGTTAAAAATTAAAACCACCACAATAAATGCATACCTCCTGCATCTCTCATCGGAGTCATGTGGTGCATTGGGGTTCGTGATGGATACATTGGCGTCTCACTTCCCAACCCATACCGTTGAGATGAATCCCTGGTAACCACATAAAAGCCAATATTCATAAACAGTTCAAACTTCCCAGCCAAACAATAATAGAAAAGGCAATGACCATTTTACCTAGGTGTCGTCATAACTACAGCATCAGCAATCTGATTCCTATTAACTGCATATTAGAACAGACCCTTTGTCAAAAATAAAAGAAAACCAATACAAAAGGCAATCCCATTAATAACACAAAAGTACTTACCAGTAACCACCTTCATTTGTGATTCCAGTTCAACTCGAACAGTTGAACCATTAACATCTACTACACGACCACGGTAGCCCTTGAAGGGACCCACACGGATCTTGATAGTATTCCCAACCAAAGCATCTTTCCCCCCTCTACCCCCTCTACCCCTTCCCCCAGCTGCAGTATCATGAAATCAAAAAGTTGGTACACTATACAGAATTGTCTCCCACTAAATATGTCAGGTGTTCCATTATTATTATTTTTTAACAACATCGGGACTCTTTAGTGCCCATAATGAGTACCATATAAAATTCCCCTAAATATTGTAAATAGAAGAACATACAATATTGCTGAGGGTCTCCTCTAGGCAGCCGACTTGGAGACCTCAACCTATCAAATCTTGAAACCAAAGAATCTGTACCCTGCAGAAGAGATTCATCAAGAAATAAATCATAAGCATGGTAGACATCAATAACAAAAGGGGTTATTCAGAGACTGGATGAACACAAGAGTTAGCTCCAAAATCCAAAGGTGATGTTAAGCTTACACTTCTATCACTACTTCCACGAGATCCAGCTATGGCAACACAGGATTGAGCTTTCACACAAATGAACCCAGAATTTTCAAGGTGATGGCGATCACGTATGAACATAATCCCATTATAAATATGTTCCACAGGGCCTTGCTTCCCCTACAGAATAGTAACTTATAGTTATTTACTAAGAAAAGAGTTCGGCTTCATTTGAACAGTTCAGATAATAGAATCTTACTTTACAGGGTCCATCATGAATCCTAACGATATCCTTCAAAGATACGGTGCTACCATAGCGATCTTGGGCACTACGCTTCCTCTCTATCTTGTTTCTAATCTCCCTCAACTTAACCAAAACAGCCTCTGCTCTCTCGGGAACTCCTTTGAGAACCTGGGAAAGAAGTTAAAATGATTATTTTGAATTTAAAATGTAATGGCTCCACCAAACAAATTAAAATAATTTAAAATGTAACTGAAAAATTTAGAGCCACACTTCCTTACCTGAAATGCATCACTCTCTACACCTATGATAACACCAAAGCTGGAGTTACTGCAATGCAATTGACTCCCGCATGTTAAAAGGAAAGACGCAATAAAATCTGTTCATGTCAAAAAATATCTACTTATTTTAATAATTGCCAAAAGAAATATCAACTTACTCCAGAAGCACTAGATCATGTAACTCATAATCTCCGATTTTTGTAATACCGGAAGTTATTTCAGAACTTTCCACCACATTATCAGCAAAAACTCGGATCTGAATACACAAATCGCAAACAAAATGAGCAAATGGGCCTTACAAGCTAAGAGGAATTCACTCTTACATTATGACCTGTGAGATATATACAAAATTGTGAAGTTACTTACATCTTCCTTGGTGGTGTCCGATAAGATGATGAGAACATGTCCCTCCACCTTGACAACCATACCGGTAGCTCCTTCCTGAGCGCCTGAGACTACCTTCACATGGTCTCCAGGTTTAAAGTATTTACAAAGTTCTTTCTCATTAACAGCCAGGGTTTCCTGCAAGGCATGTAGCAGGATTTATGATACAATATTGTGATAAAAAACTGATTCTGAACTTGAGAAACATAAAATCAGGGAATAACTACCTTTAAGCCTGGCATCTTCGATCTTATGTATACATTCTCTTCCTCAACCTTCTCGACCCATCCCATCAGATTCTTGAGATCACCACGGACAACGATTACTGCATCTCCTTTTATAAAATGTCCCTTTTTTCTATTTGCAAACAAGGTTGACAAACTGGCCATATCACCATTTGAATCTTTTCCAGGTTTCCGGAACTTCTCTAGTTCATCAAAACTGGGATGTATGTTCTGAGAACTAATAGACTTCATTGACACAGTTTTATAAAGATAGCCATCTTTGAACATCATCCCATCAATAGTTTCAAAATATTCCCCTGTAGCTGGATCCCGCCTTCGTTCAACAGGGATATGCATATCCCTGAAATAATAAAATTAATAACAAGTTATTACCAATCCCAGTTGAACTCAAATATGTAAAGTAACAATGGGCTATGATATCTTCAAAAAGTCATGGTTGATTGAGGTCATCACCATCCATTTTTTTAATGAATGGTGAGGACCAAATGAAAGATAGTTTTCCATAGCCCCTTGCAATATAGTATACTTTCCCATCATTAAATGCACAATAGGAGTATATCATATTTTACTTCATCTCACGGGTGTTGATAAACCGCGGTGGAGGAACAAAGTTCTTCTTCTTCCCAACCTCCCTGCCCTCCTGATACAATAAAGAAATGGTTTATCATATGGTGTATCTATCAAGAAGACTCAAACAGTGAAATGCTTACCATGTCGTGTACATTACAGCCAAAGTGCAATACAAAAAGGAAATGATATGTGAAGATGGAAAACCAAATAGAAGATTACCATTTTGTTGGCCAAAGCTTGGAGGTCGATCCTTGGGATAAGCTTTATTGTAACTCTTTGCCTGACATTATCAACATCTACAACCTGCAGAGGGTCGGCATCCATAAATTTCCATAAAGGCAATAGGAATAACCCAAGAAAGGAAAATGAAAGACAAATATACCTTTGCCAGGTCTCCTTTATAAGTTCCAAGCTTCACACGCACCCATGTATCCTTTGAAAGCTCAACGGATTTACTCTCAACTGACAGAACATCCGTCATCTCTTTGATTGGAACAAGCAACACTTTGGTATATGAATAGATGTGTCGCATTCCTTTACAAGCCTGGACCCAAGGAATAGTATAAACAAAAACCAGAAAATGAAGTGCATACACACAAACAAAAGTTATTGATGGGGGCATACCTCCTTGACATGAGCTTCCTTGTGTGCTTCAATGTATATATAATTCTTTAAATGATCCAATGCAATTACCGACATGATCTGCAGTTCTACTCCTTGCGATTGCAAATCGATACATTTCTGCATCAAGCAGAAAGCCACCTCTCTTTCATGGCCAATCTGATAAAAAACAGGAAACATTGCACAAGAAATGGACAGTTTAGGAGCATGTCAAGAAAACTAGATACATGAAGAAACATGAAAAGTTAAGAGTATGAACAAAGAGATAAAAGGAAATGTCCTCCTCCTTTTGTTCTCTCTCCCTCACTTGCTCAACATACCGCGCATTTGATCATCCAAAGCTTTGGATCTTTCACTGAGGGCAAAAGAGCTTGTTGTTCAACATCCGTCGTCTCCTCATCATATTCTAAGTGATCTGAACGGCCATATTTTTCTTGAATTAACCTTTCAAGGTCTTCCACATCTTGCTCTTCCTCGCGTGGAAGGAAAGGTCGACGATGCACCCGCCGTTCATCCTCCTCTTGCAACTCATCTCCCACGTCAATAAAATCTGTCACATGAACATGAAATTAAGATATATAATTATGCAAAATGTTTCCGTTTTGTTGAGAAATACTAAAATAGGGCTATGCATAATTGCTTCAAATAATGAATTCTAGCATTTTTAGGAATTAAACTGTAATTCGATGATTAGTCTCTATGAAGTACATCACAGCACTGACATGAAAGCTTCAAGATTGATAATATTAGAGCAGCAAAAGACTATAAACACCATGACCGTTCAGACCCAAGAGGAAACATTCTTCATCATCTCAATTATAGAAATTTCTTTTCATACTCATATCAAACAGTAGAAAATCAAAATTGAGGCAGCAGAGTTCTCGCATTATAAAAAGCATCAAGAGTGGAACATCATTCTCTTGCCATTAAAGCAGAGGTTCAAAGATCAGGGAGCAAAGTAGATTCACATTAGGTACTTATGGCTATGCTTAAAGGTTTAAGGTGCCATTCATGGTTGAGCCTATAGGTTTGACATTTCGGCATAGTGGGGTGATTTGATTAGATCTGTCTGAAGCTCCTAAAATTCAAACAACAGGATAACCACTCCCAAAGAAAATCAAGAACAACAGGTATGGTCATTTCCCCCTACAAAAGACCCTACAATCTACGCACATTCTCCACAATCTTACAGAAAAAAAGAATATAAACATTTGCACAAAAATGTACATTCTAGGAAAATTCACTAGCTTATTTCATTACCAATTGAGAGGACTTATGATCCAAAGAGTCAATTTTTCCCAGAAAATAGATGAGTCAATATTTTATTGAGTTTAATCCTTTAAAGAAAGTAGGCCTCAACAGTCACATCGAAAATGATTACAAGTTACAACACTCTTTCAAGATATATCTCTAATAAGTTATTATCCTATTTTTCCTTTTTCCAATATTTTTATGATATTTGCTTTCAAGAAGTATTAAAGTGATAAATCTTGTTTATACATGTACAAACTTGTGCTGTTTACTCCAAGAGCTAGGTACATTAGTGAATATGGTTATTAAAACACTAAATAAACACTCATGCCTACACTAAATAACACTTTCCAAAACTAACAATGAAAGCAATTAATTCTAAGCTCCCCCCGTTTACTCCCCTCCCTTGTACCGCCATTACAGGCAGTTAATTTACCCCGAAGCCTCCACCTCTACCCTTTCCACCTCGTCTTCCCATTACCCATCCACCCCCATCATTCCTTCCCCTCCATCACCCTTGAAATCCTTTGCTAAGGCCTCTGCCTCAGAGCCCCTCCCTTCAGCCCCTCCAAAACCCATTTCTCAGCCCAATTCTTCCCTGTTGCCCCCAAACTTAGCCTCCCACGTTTCATTCTTAAACTCCAACCCCCATGTCTGGCTCCCCCTTACCTCTAAAATTTCAGACTGCCTTTCATCTTTGAAAAACTCCTTCATTAGCACACTCTCTCGCCAGTGTAATGATTCTAAAGGTATTGCTAAGTGGCTCCAAAGAGTTTTCAACTCCCCCCAGGTCATTTGCAAACCCCTGCATAGCAGCGCTTGCCTCATATTCCTTCTGAACCCTTCTTTACCCCTTCATGTTAAACCAAGGTCGAAGCTCAACTTCCGAGGCGATCGTCTAACTTCAAAAAGGTAGAATGAATCTCAGGACGCTCAACGTAAAGGTAAGTTTTAAAATTTCATTAGAAGGTATTCATAGACTCACCAGGTTTTCAAAACCTTGGGAAATTGCTGTGAGGAATTCCTTTCGGTTCACTGGAAGTCCTTAGGTTCGCTCCCCTTAGGAAACCTTGTTATTTTGATAGCTTCTAAACACCCTGATCTCCTTCACATCCACATTAATGGTCTTTCTTACCCCATTAGGGTCTCTGCCTAGTGTTCCAACCGCCATGACTGCCCTCCTCCTACAGATCACGATGGCTGGACTGTGGTGCACTAGGGTTGCTGAGTTGCCTCCCAATCCTAGTACTCCTTTTCAGTCTATGGCCCATACTGCTCCTCTTCCATGCTCCGCTCCTCTCCCTTATAATCCTCCTCAAGTCTTCCACCCCATCATGACCTTGAACTCTGAACCCTACATTGTGTCACCCGCTCCCAATCTTCCTCGTACTTAGTCATCCCCCGCATTTAATCCTACTGAGCTATTGCCGCCTTTGGATGATGCGCCTTCCTCTCTGCCTTCCCCCCACATTATTGCTCTCATTAATGGTCTGATCATATCGCCGGCTCACGAGGTACATGAGCTCTCAAGTGTGCCGCCACCTTACCCTCCTCCCATCCCCCCCTTTGATGCTAGTCTCTCCCTGGAACCTTCTCTCCCTCTTTCTTGCCGCCATCCTCAACACATGCCTGCTCCCAGCAGCAAGGGCAGCAAGAATGGGAGATCTGACGACCTCATACAAGGCAGCAACATTTTCAGCACACTCGTCTTCCTTCCCTTGTGGAACAGATTCCGTTATGAAGGCTCAGCCCGATCCTCTACTCTCTCTCTTTCTCTCTTTTCACTCCTCCTTTCCTTTAGTACTTATCTCAACTCCTCTTTCCTCCTTTCCTTTAGTACTTATCTCAACTCCTCTTTCTTTCTCGGCTGCTCTCCATTTTCATCTATCTCTTATGAGCCTTCTCACCACGGGGCTCTCTCTCTGCTGCTCTACTGCTTATCTCTCTCTCTTTTCTACCAATCACCTTGCTGCTCTACCGCTTATCTCTCTTTTTCTATCAATCACCTTTCTCTTCTCCTGAAACTTCTCACCACGGGTCCCTGCCCATCTCTTGCAACGAAGCCAGACAGATTTGAAGACTCGCAGACTACTAAGAAGTCAGCCCCGCAGTTTCTGAAGTTTCTGTAATTCGTTTTCTAATTTTTTTTGGATATTTAAGTAGCATCTCTTCTTTTTTCTTTCTATAAGTCTCTCTCCTTAATGTTATATGTGGGTTGCCGTATTTTTTCTGTTCTAATTATGTAAGTAATCTCTTTTTAATACAGGTTAACCTTTCTTCAAATAAAAAATAAAAAAATTAATGACATGAACGAGGTTAACCTTTCTTCAAATAAAAAATAAAAAAATTAATGACATGAACCACAATGTAGAAGATTTTACAGCATGAATCATTATTAGGGCATACAAATCCCATAACAACTACCCAGGAGAACAATAGCAAACTTACATCTTGAAATAAAAATTCCACGTCCCATAAATTTGTGGTAATTAAATCAGGAGAACAATAGCAAACTTACATCTTGAAATAAAAATTCCACGTCCCATAAATTTGTGGTAATTAAATCGATAAAAGAAAATTAGAAAGAGAGAAAAAAAATAAATTTGTGGTAATTAAATCGATAAAAGAAAATTAGAAAGAGAGAAAAAAAATCAATAGGGAGAGAGAGGACTAAAATAAAGCTTACCTGCTTCTCCTTCCTCTTCTTCTTCGTCATCATCACTTGCCACAGCAGCCATGTCATCAAAAAACTCAGAACCAGGACGACTCTTGCGCTTCCGGGGGCGGTCATCCTCTTCTTCATCTTCCTCGTCATCTTCTTCAGCCATATCATCTAAGAATTCTGATCTCTTGTTCTTCTTCTTCCTTCCACCAACATAATCCTCATCCTCCTCCTCCAAATCTTCTTCCTCTTCCAAATCTTCTTCCTCCTGCTCTTCTTCAACCTCGTCTTCTTCATAATGTCTCGCCATACTACCAATCCGAAACCCCACCGATGAAGGATTAGGTTTAGGAGCAAACTGATGAAGGATTAGGTTTAGGAGCAAAGTGATGAAGGATTAGGCTTAGGAGCGAAGAAAGGGAGAAGTGATTAGGTTTGGGAGATGGGGAAGGGACTAGGTTTGGGAGCGAAGAGATGGGGAAGGGATTAGGTTTGGGAGCGAAGAGATGGGGAAAGGTTTGCTGGTTAAGTAGAGAGAGAAGCGAAGAGATGGGGGAAGGGTTTGCCCGTTAAGCAGAGAGAAAGAGCAGCGAAGAGATGGGGGAAGGGCTTGCTGGTTAAGTAGAGAGAAAGAGAAGCGGAGGGGGAATTAGGCTCAGGAGCGAAGAGAGAGGGTTGGCTGGTTAAGTCGAAAGAGAGAAAAGAACAGCTAGGGTTTTTTTTTTATACCGATCGCAGACCGGATAGGAGTCTGGAAAGACCGAACTGGTTTTCGGATCCTACGTGCCCCGGCCAACTCTCCCCTTGAGAACCTCCTTTTTATCAAGAAACCGGTTTCTATGCGGCCCTGCCATGCCCGCATATGTAGAAAAGCGGGCCTCCTCATAAATCTATTTTTTAGATGAATTTTGAGACTTAATTTTCAATGACATAGAATCTCTAACATGGAAATCATGAATATGAATAAATAAATAAATTTTAAAATTATAAATAATAATTCTAATAAAAAAACATTTGGACCATTAGTTTTCATTGTTTTTAGATGGAACACCTACTTGCATCCATCTTTAAGATGGATGCTTTACACTTTCTAAACAGCATATGTAGAATGCGGTCATACCTACTTGCATCCATCTTTAAGATGGATGCTTTACACTTTCTAAACAGCATATGTAGAATGCGGTCATATCCGTATGAAACAATTTTCTTTCTAGTACTAAGATGAAATTTCTATATAGTCTAGGCTTTTATGAAAACCAAATAAAACCTCACCTCAAATCCTCATCCGAAAATCACTTTTTGGCAATGGAAATTTCAATGATGGCTCTAAAATCAATTTTCAACACCGACAATAAATTTTGAAACTAAAAAATTATACAAATCTTACGGATCTTTTAACGCTTATTTTTAGGGCAAAATGGACAATCTAGATAATTTGTTAAAATATAATTACTTTTAGATCTTGTCTTTTTCACCACCATGATGTTTAAGCGAATATGATCGATGTAAAGACTTTTTAATGCTCATATTGCAATTTTCAACGAGTTATGAGGCGACGCTTTACTTCTTTTGATAGGGCTGCAGCCCTATCAAACTATTTTTCTTATTAATTTTTGTTTTTAAGGCTTCCTAGTGGTTCTAAGTCCTCTTGAATTTTCCACCTTATAAATTCTTTTTTTTATTTTTTTATTTTAAAAAAAATTATTTATTTTAAGAAAAATTAAAGTGTATACTATATTGTGACTTGGGATTTGAAACTTCCATACCAAATCCTGGATGCCACCGATGGTCTTGTGATCTCTTTTTCTGTCATCTGGAAATAAAAATATTGTTGAAAAACTTTTAACAATCAGCTTGTTTCCCTATGTAGGTGCCCGACTTTTTACGTACAAATCTGATGAGATCCATTATGAGATCCATCTTATTTAAACACAAACTATTAGAAAAAACTCTAAATCAATAGAGAAGTGGGAGCAGTTAAATCACAGACCTGAAATAGACTTAAATCTAAGAAGAGCAACGCTGGTTGAATTTCACACTAAATCAATCTTTAAAAGTTAGATCTAAAACTAATGACTCATATAATTTTTAAAATATAAATAAAATAAATAATTAAATAAAAAAAGTGGTTATCTCTTACTTGGGGACTCCCAACTCAATAGTTGCTAGCTCGGATTAGGCTGATCTTTCTTGGTACCGCTTCTCCTTTTTGGATGATATAACATCTAGGGTTGAGTTATGGGTTTTATGGATCTAAGAGAGACTAATGTTTTAGGGTTTATGGATCTAGGAAAAACTAATTAGCGTTTATGGATCTAGGATTTTATAAGGTATTTTCCTATGATTTTGGGAATTTAAGAGATATTTGAAAATTTGGGAATTTCTAGGAATTTTTGGGTTTTTTCTTTAGTTTTCTAGATTTTTTTTTATTTTTTAAGGATTGTTTAGAGATTTTGGGAAGTTTAATATAGGACTAAGTTAGGGACCCTTATGAAATTAGTCCCCTTTAATTTTGTTTTTTCTAATTGATTTTGGTCTAGTGAACCCAATAAATCCAACAACGGTAGTCCAATTTGGGCACATCTTGGGATTGAATGCTTGGCTTTTTCTATGCATTGGATCAATTTTTGGGTTTATCAAATGGTTTCCTCAACACTAGGACTACGGTCAGGTGTACAACAGCTAAATGTGGTCATTGGGCTCAGAACTACAAGCTTATTGGTATTCTTTCGATTAAAATTTAATGTGGGGATGTTTGCATAATGAGGTGCGTCCTACTTAATTGTAGTTTGAATTGATGTAGTCATATAGCTATATCAAAACACTAGAACAAAATTTTGTTGAAATTTTCACACATAAATATGGTTTCAAGATGGTTCTTAAAATTGGTTGAAATTTTCATAAATAATAAAGTGTAGTTTGCAATGTTGTAAATGAAATTGTCTACAAAGAGACCATTTATTTTTTATACAATTAGGTCACAAACATTCTCGCTCATTAGATGTCAAATTGGATGGTTTGGGATGAATCACGAAGTTCGAAAAAATATTTTTGGAACTTTATATCTCTATGACAATCTTACAATTTTAATAATGTTTTAATAATTTTAATAATCTATGACAATCTTACAATTTCATAAAAAATTGATTCTCAAAGCTACAATTTTAATAATGTTTTCCTTATTTTAGTGCATAAAAAATATTTTTGAAGTGATTATGACCATATAATTAATACGATAAATTATTTAACATTTGATTTAAAACAATATTAATGCCCAATTTCCTAAAAATATTTGTGAATTTTTTTTATTTAAATTTCAATTATCACTTTATTATGGATCAAAAAATTGTTAAAATTTTCAAATTCTATTTATTTTATTTTAAATTTTAAGACTTACCTTCTAATTTGATCATCTTAAGTGTTGGACAAATAATGAAAACACGCACGATTCTATGTAGTCTATGCATAATTAAAAATCAGATATAATTTATCAAATCACACTTCAAAGTTGATTTTAATAATGATATCTTGAATAACAAGTTTTTTCATTAAAAGATGTTTTAGGTGGGACAGATAAAAAGTAAAACTTTATTATTTTTTTTGGCATAAGGTGGTAACAATCACTATTGATCATTATATACGAAATCAGACCCCTTGTTTGGAACAAGGAGGTTGAAATCACTATGGATCAGCACATGTGATATCATATTGCTAGAGGTGTGTGATTAATTGTGTTAAAAGTAAAAAAAGATGTCACGATCACTGGTACAAGGATATCACAATCATTATTGATTAGTAGATGTGAAATTAGATTTATAGGAGTGTCATTGATTGGGTAGAAAACTCAAAATAAAATATCTTGAATTGCATAAAGCAATCAAAATTTAAATTTGATGGCTAAATGTGATTATAACCTCAATACGTATTACAAAAAGGTGCGGTTTGTATAGTGCCGAGGCTCTAATCAAATTACAGCCCACCTTTAAATAGTCTCGACAAATATGGTTTTAATGAATGTGGTTTGTATAGAGCCTAGGCTCTAAACAATCAAATCAGAGCCTACATTCAAATGGTGTCGAGAAATATGGTTTTACTATTGAAAATCTTTGTGATAGCCTTAAAATATATTTTCATATTTATTTATAAAGTTCAAAGTTTCAAAAATAGTGTAGATGATATGAAAATTTGAAAACCTTGAAAATTGACAGTCTAAAAATGCGTTACAAAATACACTATTTTCAAAAATTGAAATCTATTTTTTTCGCATGTCCATGCATCTTGATGTCGAGATGATCAATTTGAAGATATCCGGGCGTTAAAACAACCTCTTCTAGTGAACTTTTTGAGGTAGGCTCAAATTTGGTTGTTTAGTGCCTCGGCTCTAAATAAACTTTTCCCGGTTTTAATACTAGAAAGTTTTGTGATAGCCTTAAATTATATTTTTATATTTAGTTGTAAAATTTAAAGCTTAAACAATAGTATAGATCGGGCAGATCTATGAAAACTTAAAAAATATTGAAAATTAACGGTAAAAAAATATGCTACAAGATGCACTATTTATGAAATTTGAAATCCATTTTGTTCTCATGTTCATGTATCTTGGTGTGGAGGTGATTAATTTGATGATATTTGGGCATCAAAACAACCTCTTGCCGTGGAAGTATTGAGGCAGGTTCCAATTTGATTGTTTAGAGCCTAAGCTCTATATAAACTTTTCCCTTTAAAAAATGGTTATACAGTGTACAATCCAAATGTAAAACCTAAAAGACATGGAATTGTTCCCCGCGGATGAATACTGAGAAAGATGTGCCTTGACGAAGGACAAATCTAATGGGCTAAACAAAGGATCTACAAAAATACCTCAAACTGAGATGTTTATGATAAGCTCTTAGTGAGTCTAGCGGTTAAGGCCCATGTTGAATTTTCAAGGCATATCAGGCCTGATGGCAAGTACCGATTATATGAGTCCTCTGATATAATATTTGAGGTATTTCTGCAGGCATATATTGAATTAATATTGATTGATCACCCATAGGTTCCTTTTTTTTTTTTGATAGAAATCACCTATAGGTTCCTTCTGTTCCTAAACTCGATCCAGATCTTGAAATTTAATCGCGGCCATCAGTTTTATATGTTTAATTTTTAAGTTTTGAGTATCCAAAAATCATCCCCAACAAATAATTTTTGGATCTAAAAGTTATAAAACAAATTATAGATCATGTATTTCGGCAACCCATAGTGTTTCATTTGTTTAAAGATTGTGAATATTACAATAATTATTCGTAAAAAAATTACAAGCATTGTGAAGCATTTGTAGCTAGGTCAACACCAAGACAAGCCAGGCCGGAGATGGGCCTAGGCTTAACCTGGCCTCATTTGTTTGCATCCTTATATTATATAATGTATCACCTTCTAACTCACCTATATTCTAAATGCATTATAATTCAGAAAAGAGAAAAGTTCATATAAAGTTGCAATAATCTCCGATGTTCATTTTAATCAAATAACGTAACGTTGGTACCATCTTATTAAACGACATGTTAAATATATACCATCCAACTAATGGATGGTATAGAATGTTGTAATCTTTGCCTCAATTTATTTTGCCTCGATTTTTGGTACGAGAACAAAGTACCCAAAAAAACCCAAAAACTTGTTTTTTCCTTGAGGAGATAGAGAACACAATAAATATGGACTTTTCATTTTAGGATAGTGTTATAGGGTATTTTTGATTGGCTTAGCCCCGACATGAATAAGAAAGGAGCCAATCATGC